GCTGGCCGAGGCAATGGATGCCCATCAAGTAGATTTTTCACCGTATGCAGCAATTATTGAAGATACAAAGTTCCAGCTAAAGTTGTGGTTTTTCAAATGGAGTGTAACTGCTTGTAGACGAACTATGAGTACGGTTGCTCATGAGTTAGCACAAATTGGTTGTAATTGCCCACCGAACATGTCTGTCGAGTGGGATACTATTGTACCGCCCAAAGTGGCTTCTTGCGTGTCGGGCATATGACCGAACATCGTTGATCTATAAAGCTTTGCTTTCCCTCAAAAAAAAAGAGAAACTCCTGATATTAATTAGATTGAAATGCATGTAAAAAAAGTTTGAAAATGCTCTTTGGTGTCTTTATATTGTTATATTATTAAAAAGTTAAAATCACCATCGTTTTCTCCTCCATGATGTTTTGTTGCCCCATCTGCCAACGTGGACTGTTCTTTTTTCTTGCTCCTTGCCGGTGGCTGTGTCGGCGAGACGTCGGCGGGCGGACGGACACGTAGTGGGAGAGAAAAAACAATGCGGCCAGGGCCATTGTGTGGGGCACACAGCCAACGACTCTGCACCCCGCCTTCCGACGCGGACGCGAGCGCCAAACCGGAGATGAGCCTGGCACGCGTTGGGGAACGGCTGTGTACGCGCGGGACCCCGGTGACGACGCGCAGCTGATTCCTTTCCTTCCCCGAGGGAGCGGCAACGGCCGACCCAAACGAACCCCGCGTTGGGGCGCGAGATTAGACAAAGCAAACCCGGACCATAAGCTACACCAGAACGAACATAACCCCAGAATGGACACGCACTAGGTGCTCGCTCTCGGCTCTTCCCTTCTCTCTTCCACCGGTACGGTGCCTAACCCCTCCTCCTTTCTCTCCCCCAGATGCGAACACCCCGCCGCCTCCTCCTCATAACCCGCCCGACCGCCGTGCCGCCTCCTCTCGCGTTCCTTCCGGGTCCCTCCCCCCTCCAACCGAGCCTGATTTCTCCATTGTTGGTCGGCCTGGGGAGGAGACTCCGCCGAGGTTGGGTGGGATTTCTCGGTTTGTATTTGAGCCGGCGGTGCGTTGATGTTTGATGCTGCTGCCCGATGGAGGGGGTAGGGAGAGAGCACGATAGCTCCGTGGCGCTGCCCGTGGAGGATTTCGGCGCCGCCAAGGTCAGGCCAATCCAATTCTCCCCCCCTCCCCCTCTTGTTTTGTTACAGTATCTGTTTTTTTAGATTGTTGTCAGCATATGCCCAAACTGGAATCAGCTCATGTACACCTCGATTTTTTTTCATCTGCGACTGCCATGGATCAATTATTTGACTTCTATCCTCCGTTTCGTGCCATTAACTCTTTCAAATGCAGGATACAACCAGCGTGAGCACAAAGCCTACAAGAAGGTATCCGCTCGCGTCATGGGTTGCCATATTGGCCCTGGCCACCCTTGTAGGTGTATACATATTCTCCTTATCTCTGAAGCAAAATGGGATGCTTTTCGGGCTCAGGCAGACCAACATGATAGAGAAAGAACGGGAGCAACCTTGCCACCACCCCGGAATTCCAGAGACCGAGATCCCTTTGGTGCACTTCCCCACACCCAATACTTATAGTAGGTATGGAGATAGATAGATACACTTGGGCATCTGATTTTGCGTTTTAAGGCTGGTGAGTAACTTATTCTTCTGTTTGTTTCTTTGTTAGGAAAGAATGTGCATGCACACCAGTTAGATTCTTTGCTATCTTGTCGATGCAGAGGTCGGGAAGTGGATGGTTTGAAACCTTGTTGAATAGCCACGAGAATATTAGCTCCAATGGAGAGATTTTCTCTGTCAAAGACAGGCGTAGCAATGTCACGGCCATCACACAAACACTCGATAAATTGTACAATCTCGACTGGGTCAGCAGTGCCGCTAAAAATGAGTGCACGGCTGCTGTGGGGTTGAAATGGATGCTCAATCAGGTAATCTTTTGCCATTAGTTTACTGTTAGATTAGTTATTCCACTAAGGTGAAAATAAATAGATAAGACTTGCTCGTCAAATTAAATTTTGAAGAACGTCATTTTGTTGCTGAATTATATGTCCTGTAAATAGCTGTGTGACCCTTAACTTTGGGGAGATCACCCTGAAGAATGGTCGGTCAGCGTTTGGAGCACTGCAGCAGTATCATACACTATCTGATATTTGAGAAGTAATGAATGTAATCATAGTTGATGCACTGCTCCATAACCATTGCAAACTTTCTCTTTAAAACATATTCATAACATAAGAAGTCAGCTTGCCAGAAAGTGTTAACGATACCATGATTTCATGGAAATAACCTGCGAAAATACCATAACCATCGTAATGATAAGGGCAGCCAAGTACTAAAACCTCTTCTTCTCGCCATTGCAATACTTTTCCCCCATTTTTAATCTTGTATGTTTGAATTATCAGCCTTGTTTAGATTAGCTACCTATTAAATGTGTCCATTCCACAAAAGGGGGCCCCATTCATTTTTTTACCAAAAACTGTAGGGTAGGCCCTTGTATATAATTTTTCTATTTATATGGTGTACACAAAATGTATACCTTATACGCTGAAGATGCACAATATAGCCCTCACATAAGAAGCTGTACACTAGAGGCAAGAACATGGTGTGTGGGTGGGTCGGGGGGAGGGTATAAAACCCCTGGGTATATATTCTCACTTAAACAGATATGATAATTTATCTCAATGCTCTCTTTGTACTTTTGTCTTTGAGGAGATCTAAGATTCGTTGTAAATCGTTTTTCCTTTGATTTGTTCACAAGAATTATTTTCTGTACTATAATTATTTAATGTGGTGCATCTCTTCCAATAATGTTAGCTGGCCTGATTTACTTGTTTTGATACGATTTGTTTTGTGGAATTACAGGGTCTGATGAAACATCATCAAGAGATAGCTGAATATTTCAACCGAAGGGGTGTGTCTTTAATTTTCCTTTTAAGAAGAAACCTTCTGCAGCGATATGTCTCCATATTGGCAAACGATTATGATAGAAATACGAAGCAACTAAATGGAACTCACAAAGCTCATGTGCATCACAGAGGCCAGGTTCACCTTTTTTCCCCTTGATCTTACTCACAGCCCACAGTGTGATAAATTTTATTTTATGTCTGCAACTTTTGGTATCACAAATCAAGGATTACCCCCTACATCTTAGCGCACCTTTAACTACTGTATCTTCTGTACTATTGTGGATGTGCCGCAAAATAAAAAAGTCCTCCATTTTTCCTCTCTGCAGGCTGATGTTCTTGCTCAGTATAAGCCAACAATAGACACAAAATCGTTGATTGCTGAACTAAAGAGGTCTGATAAGTTGGCAGCTGATGGTTTAGTGAGTTTCAAGAAGATCCGGAGTATTGTTCTGTACTACGAGGATGTGGTCAGCAATCGCACTGTGAGGCCCCTTGCACTATATTCATGTTTGGGAATTAATCAACATTTATTTCTCTTGATAACATCTATTTTGCTTTCTTTCAGAAGCTCACAGATGTGCTGGATTTTCTGAAATTGCCAAAGATGAAGCTATCCAGTCGGCATGTGAAAATCCATACTAAACGATTGCGTGATCATATTGATAATTGGACTGATGTTTCTAATACTTTGAATGGGACTCAATACGAGAGCTTCTTGAACGGCCGAAGATGACCAGATTAGCTAGGTGTAAATAATGTTGTAGTGAGTTTCATTCTTTTGGCCCCTTCTTTCGCCCCTGCCATAGCTAGCAGAGTAAGCCAAAGTTGGCACTTGTGTCCATTATGTGCTAATCCAAAGGGCTCATTTGGTTTCCATTTGACGTCCTAACATATATATAAATTAGCTGATTAAATTAATAGCTACCATACAAAGTTTTTTAATTTAGATAAAAGGCTTTTTTTGCTCAGTTTAAGCTTGTAGTCTCCAGGACATGGATCGCAAAGTAGAGCATACAAAGTTATGATCATCTTACACCAAAAACCTCTTCCTTAGATCAGAGTATATAAATGGTTGATGATTACATTTTGTTTAGGACTATTCATTATTACTGTATGACAATGTTTAGGTATCACTTCACTATTCATTATCATAATCATTTTGTTTAGGTATCACGTCACTATTCATTATTTGACTCACAAAGCTCATGCGCTGTAGATTTGACGGCTGTAACTGATAAATGGGGAAACATAGTCCAAGAACCTATTGATGATCTAAGGTAGTTAATTCATTTTGGGATATTAGATGTTCATGATTTCAGGACATAAGATGGGAAAATACACCGTTATGATTTCCAAGTACATACTTAAGTACTATTCGAAGTTATTTGAGTGCTCAGTTTAGTGTCAGAACTTGATATACTGCAATGACTATTAATCCAACATTGCATAGGTGCTGATGCCTAATTTTGCTTTAGCTGTGATTTGTTTGTGAATTTAGAACAGGAGATAGAAATTCTATTTAAATCCATCTAATCTATTTACTTTGTTCCCTAATTTCATTCCAGAAAATCCTGAGGAAAATAATTGGGTTCCCACCTAGCTGAAACAATATGCTGATGGTTCTAGAAAAAACCCTCGTCTCTTTTATTCCAAAAATAAAATAAAGATAAGAAAAATATTCTAGGAATTGAGAGTTTGAGACATGGAATATTAATGATGTGAGGTGCTTTAAAATATATCTCCTGTTAGCAGAACCTTTTTTTTTCTGTTACTTTCAATGATGATCACCACACTTCAAAATAACTGCTGAGCGGACGTAACCTTCATTCTGATTTGTGACTTCAAAATATTACCAGATAACAGAACCTTCCTAGTTTCTGTTGTTACTTGTCAACAATGACCACCACAATCTAAAATTTCTGCTGAGCTGAAGCAATCTTCATTCTAGTATGTGCTATTATTCAAAATAGCACTAGTCCCTTTTGCTCAGATGTGCAAGTGATAAAGAAAATAGTAATGTACTAATTTCATTCTATAATACAGAACCCCCGGTAAGTTCAATAAGCAGCCTAGCTTCCTATCGACCTTCAATGGTAACGGTCGCACTGTTGAATATGCTGCTGTCTGGTTTACTTGATGACGTCTCTGTTTCCATTTGAATTCTTCTAGCTGCAAAACCAGGCTGCTTAGGAGTTGGCAATGTGGCAGTATCTGTAGCAGCTAACATCATAAGCACTTGGGACATCAATGGACGATCATCTGGGTTCTCTTGCACACACAGGAGCCCCACTCTGGTGCATTTGAGTACTTGATCTGAGTTGAACGAGCCATTCATGGTTTCATCTGCTAATTCTACGCCTTTCCCTTCGTTCCATAAGCTCCATGCCTACACAATGAAAAACGTGACCAAGTTATTTTGAAATTTAACTGAGAAACACAGGCTGTATGTGTTGGATGACTATATTCTCACATGTCCTAGAAGATTTAGGTGATTTGAGTAGGAATACACCCCTCTGTTTCTTCTACCACTTATTATTTCCAGCAGTAATACTCCAAAACTAAATACATCTGATTTGACTGAGAAGACTCCATCCATTGCATACTCTGGAGCCATGTAGCCACTACAGAATAGCCACATCAACATGATTAATGTTGGGAAACTCATTTGTATAATCAAAGATTGTTTTCCCAGTTATCATACTTACTATGTGCCAACGACTTTACACGTATTGATTTCTGTCTCTTCACTGCCAAACATTCTTGCCATGCCAAAGTCAGAAATTTTGGGAGTCATCTCCTTGTCTAGAAGAACATTACTTGCCTTCATGTCTCTATGGATGATTCTGTATCTTGAGTCCTGGTGGAGATACAGTAATCCTCGAGCAATGCCTTCTATGATAGAGTATCGCACTTGCCAATCAAGTTGGATACTGTTGGATTTTTCTGCTGAAATATGCAAACACATGTTGGTAATTTTGTCAGCCAATATTTGAGGTCATAAAGTGAAAGGTTGAGAGGTTACCAAATAGGAAGTAATCCAGGCTCTTATTTTCCATATATTCATAGATAAGTAGCCTTTCTTGTCCACTAATGCTATAGCCAAGAAGCCGGACAAGGTTCCGGTGCTGGAGTTTAGCTATTAACATAACCTCATTCTTGAACTCATCGAGACCCTGTACGGATGTTTTTGAGAGTGTCTTGACAGCTATTTCCTGTCCATCCTCAAGCTTACCCTGTAATTTTGAAGGAGATACTTTCGAACTTCAGCAGACCAGAGTTTTCAAATTGCCATAGTTATTTAGAATGATTTTGTTGTACCTTTTGAATTAATTTTTGTTCTTGATGTTGCTTATTGTTTCATCCATATGCACTGTATAGATTTGCCATATATAAAGTGCTAACCTTATACACCGGTCCAAAGCCACCCTCGCCGAGTTTGTTATCGATGGAGAAACCATCAGTGGCAGCTGCGATTGTCCCCAGATCAAATATCGGCAGTTCCAAGTCATCATTGTGACTACTTCCATCATACTGGCGGGGAGTGCTGCGTGAACCGCCGCTCCATTTACTAGATCCTGGAGACATAAGAATCAGAATAACATTCAGAAACGTCATGTATTAGTTCAGTTGGAAGTCTATTGGATCTGGATGCTACCTGTTTTTCTTGCCTTCTTCTTCCCTCTTGTCCAGAAGAAAACACCAGCGAGCGCTAAAAGGAATGCCAGCGCGGAGATGCAGGCGACGACTGCGATTATCACGTGTTTCTTCTTGGATTTACTTGTTATACCTGTGTGGTAAACCATAAACGGTTAGTTTGGGGATGCATATGTCTTAAGACACGTTCATCTGGAATTTTGGAGGAACAGATGTTTTTATGAGTATCCCAAAGATGTCATATGCAAAAATGTCGCACGTCTTGCTTCAACAACTGAGGCCTGAGTATGAGCTTCAGATACCCAAGAACTCTGTCGCTACACGTGGGCTCAGTTTGCAATTGCAAATGAGTAAAGTGAAGTGATGCCTGACCGGGCTCCTGCTGCTGCTTTTGGATATTTGGTTGTCTAGCTTTTGCTACTGTACTTATTGAATCCTGACCACGTTTTGTGGTTTGTGGTTGTGGTGGCCCCTGCCCCTGCCCCGTCCTACCCAAAAACGCTGCTGCAGCTGCTGGCTGAATTTTTGATTAATAACCTGTCTAACGGGAGCTGGGTGTTGGACTCGGACACCTATGGTGATTTGATCTCCAACAGATTTGTTGTGGCTATGTAAGTATGTACTCCCTCCGTTTCAAAATAGTTGACTCAATTTTGTACTAACTCTAGTACTCCCTTCGTTTCTTTTTACTCCGCGTATAAGTTTTGGTCAAAGTCAAACTACACAAAATTTGATCAAATTTATATTAAAAAAATATGAACATCTACAATACTTAAACTATATAATATGAAAATACATTTCATGGTGCATCTGAAAATGTTGATTTCCTGTTGTGAATGTTGATAATTTTTAATATAAAATTAGTCAAACTATGGAAAGCTTGACTTTGACCAAACTTTATATGCAGACTAAAAAGAAATGAAGGGAGTATAAAGTTGGGTCATCTATTTTGAAAGGGAGTAGGTACGGGCAGTGGGTAGCTTGAGATGGCGCGGTCGGTCCGCTCGGCGGGGGCCGCGTTACTGCCGACGACGTGGGTTTGGCCTGATTCGGGAGAGCGGCTCAAGTTTCTACCGTAAGACCAAGCGTTTAACTAATTCTAGCTTTGTTGCTTCCTGACTGCCAACCAAATCTACTGCACGGTGCAGCAGAGAGTGGAGGGTGCGTAATTATTTTCTTTGACGGAGAGGAGATTGCATAATAATCATGTCCATCTTCAACTGGCAAGGAGCATCTTATCACTAGAGCTTTTTATCTCCCTTGGCGAAATTTCACCTACCAACTGATGCATAGCAACAAGAGGGGAGAGTGTTGTCTACGTACCCTCGTAGACCGAAAGCGGAAGCGTTATGACAACGCGGTTGATGTAGTCGTACGTCTTCATGATCCGACCGATCCTAGCACCGAAGGTACGACACCTCCGTGGTCTACACACGTTTAGCTCGGTGATGTCCCACGAACTCTAGATCCAGCTGAGGTCGAGGGAGAGTTTCGTCAACACGACGACGTGATGACGGTGATGATGAAGTTACCGACGCACGGCTTTGCCTAAGCACTAAAACGATATGACCGAGGCAGAAATTTGTGGAGGGGGCACCTCACATGGCTAAACAATCAACTTGTGTGTCTATGGGGTGCCCCCTCCCCCATATATAAAGGAGTGGAGGAGGGGAGAGCCGGCCCTCTCTATGGCACGCCAAGGGGGGGAGTCCTACTCCCAGTAGGAGTAGGTTTTCCCCCTTCCCTAGTTGGAGTAGGATAAGAAGGAAGAGGGAGAGGGAGAGAAGGAAGAGGGAGAGGGAGAGAATGAAGGGGGGGACCCCTACCAATTCGGATTGGGCTTGGGAGGGGGGCACCTTAGCCGCCACCTCCTCTCTTCCACCATGGCCCATTAAGGCCCATTAACTCCCCGGGGGGTTCCGGTAACCTCCCAGTACTCCGAAAAAAATGCCCGAACCACTCGGAACCTTTTCGGTGTCCAAACATAGCCTTCCAATATATCAATCTTTATGTCTCGACCATTTCGAGACTTCTCGTCATGTCCATGATCACATCCGGGTCTCCGAACAACCTTCGGTAAATCAAAACACATAAACTCATAATACCGATCGTCGTCGAACGTTAAGCGTGCGGATCCTACGGGTTCGAGAACTATGTAGACATGACCGAGACTCACTTCTGGTCAATAAACAATAGTGGAACCTGGATGCTCATATTGGTTCCTACATATTCTATGAAGATCTTTATCGGCCAAACCGCATAACAACATACGTTGTTCCCTTTGTCATTGGTATGTTACTTGCCCGAGATTCGATCGTGGTATCTCAATACCTAGTTCAATCTCGTTACCAGCAAGTCTCTTTACTCGTTCCGTAATGCATCATCCTGCAATTAACTCATTAGTCACATTCCTTGCAAGGCTTATAGTGATGTGCATCACCGAGAGGGCCCAGAGACACCTCTCCGAAACACGGAGTGACAAATCCTAATCTCGTGAGCTCATTGGCCAACTTGGTGGAGATGAGGATCCTCTGCCCCCCAATGGAGGAAATCCACATCCTCTCCCACTGTTCAGGAGGGTTTTTGGCATGATGAAGTTCTTGGTAACATCCCCATGGAGCAGGTTGTTATCAACCACACAATGAGCATCTTGGGGCTCCATATGAGGATGTGCATGTTCCTGCTGCTGTTGGCAATGCCAACAATGATCAGAATGAGGTGATAAAAAATGTTGTCATAACTATTCCTATGCAGGTTGATACTGCAGCTCAGACTCACAATGATGAGGTGCTGGATGATCAGTTGGATTTCATTCCTATGCCTGATGCTGAAGAACAAAGCCCACAGGGTGTCCATGCTAACACCCCTGTCTTTGTGCCCGCTAATGTTTCTATGGACTATGAGGATGCACATATTCCTGGGAATGTTGAGCCAAACAACTATATGTCTGACAACATCTCTGTTCTTCAGGATCTCATTGGCAACATTGTCTCCAATGCCCATGACATCTTTCCCAAACTGGGTGGCTCCAAAATTGTTAATGCTAAATGTAACATTGTGGATGTTGAGGGCACTCTGGGGTTCAGTAAGAAATTCTATCTGCAAATCATGACTGTCCAAGACAAGCCTGTTCTTGTCAGCTCAGCTAGTCTTACTGAGATCTCTGAAGAGGCGTTTGCTGAAGTCTGCAAGCCATCTGGGAACAAGAAAAGAAAGAAGAAACTATTGTTGATGATGCATTCTGCAGAAGGAGCAATAGAATTGCCCAAATCAATTTGGGTTTCAAGGATAAATTTGCTGCTGAAGCTGCCATAGGCAAGGCTGGCACTTCCAACATGCAGACAACCAAGCAGAACAAAGTTTCAGAGAACATGGGGAATAAAGCAGATGTTGCTATCAATCTTGGGCCTAGATTTGAGGCTGTTGTGATGGACAAAAATGCACCTCCACCTCCAATGCTTTCACTGGAAACTATCCAGGCAATTGGGACTGGTCCTTGCAAGATGGCACCTCATGAAGTGTCATCCTTAGCCCTGAACTATGACAGTTCTGATGGTTAGTTTGCATACTTTGCTATGGGGCCTGTACATCTCCCCTAACTGCTGTCTTATTTGGCTTAATTCTAGTTATCATAAATCATGTTGCTTTATGGTTTACTATGTTATGTGCCTGTGTGCACTTTTGCTTACTTTGGGCTGTAATAAGTACTTTGGCTTGTGGTTATGTACCCCTCCAGACAGACCTTATTATGTGATCTGCTATGCCAGTTATGTTTGCTGTTATGATGTTTCTTGCTTATATTGTCTGTTGTTCTATATGACATCTCTTGTGTGTCCTTATCACCCAATGAAGACAACAAAGAAATTAATCCCTCCATGTCATGCTAGCCATGCCATGTTTAACATGTCATTACACATATTTAATGACTAGAAAAGCTGGAATATTCTTAATTGGAATGTTAGAGGGATTAATTCTAAGGATAGATGGGATGATATCAGGCTGAAAATTGATGAAAGTTCATGTTGTGTCATGACTTTCCAAGAAACAAAGAGAGAGCAATTTGGTCTGGCATACATTAGGAACTTTTGCCCAAAAAGGTTCAGCCAATATAGCTTCATGCCCTCTGCTGGTAATTCAGGTGGTCTGATTACAATCTGGAATGGTAATATGTAACACCCCGGTGTAAGGATGCTACAGTAAACCCTGGGGTTAAGTTAATCATTTTGCTAAACAAGTGCTTGATCATCATTGTCTCCTCTCTCTTTCAAATTCCAGTTGAATTCAATTTCAAATTATGAGTGATATTCAAAATGTTCAAACATGAAATCTAAAATTTTCATCATGCGCCAAATAATCCACAAGTAATATTGGTGGTGAACCAGCATTTTTTCAAAGTGTTTAAGTGGCCTAAACTACTTATAACAGTGACCTAAGCAATAATTTAAATGCCTTATTAAATTATAAAAAATGCAAACTACTTCTAAAGTCTCACAACCTTTTTGTGGCAGTGCACAATAATTTTTTGAAATCATCTTGGCCGGTGACATAATTTTGCAAAGTCATTAGTGGCTAAAAGCAAATGCAAAAGCTACAAAAAAAGAAAAGCAAAGAAAAGGAGAAAAGGAAAAACGGAGGGGAGAGAAAGCCCCTGCCCCACTTGGGCTTCGACCCACCCACGCCAACTGGCCCAGCTAGGCTGGCCCACTCCCCCTCCCCTGGTCGCTTCCTGTTCCTCCGACCAAGCGGGACAGCGCACGCCCGTCGCCGCCTAGCCACCTCACCGGCGACGCCCCCGCGAGAGGATAAGGGCGCCCCCTCCGGCTCCTCGAGTACTCCCCCACCTACCTCCACCCACACCCAGAATCTCCTCGCCCTCTCCGCCTCTTCCTCTCCCTCTCCTTCGTTCTGGAGAGGAGGCCGACACGGTCGCCGCCGTCCTCCATCGTTGTTGCGGCCATTGGCGGCCCCGTGCCCGCTAACCCTGTCGGTGAGCTTCGGCCGGGTCGACTTCTTCAACTGGTGGCCTCAGCTGGAGCTCGGAGGCGCTGCAGCACCGGAACCCCTTCGTCCCCATCTCCGACGGCCGCAGCAACTCCGGCGCGCGCTTCTGCTCCTATGCCGTCAAGGGCTTTCCGTAGCCGCGCGGTGA